CTGCGGCCTTGCTGGGTCTCCGGTGGGACTCAGCCACTGCTGTGGTTGCGACAAATCTATCATCAGCTTGGAAACTCACCTTCTTGTATTTATGCCCCTGCTTCCTCTTCCTTACCTCTCCATCCCCTTCCCTTGCTTCCTTTGAATTAAATATCCTAGTAAAATACTAAATATCAGCATCTGATGCAGGCATTTAAAATATTTTTTCCTTTAGGGATCCTGGACAAGATAGTCCTCCAAAAACATTTCTTCGGTAAATCAGTGACTTGTAGGACCAGAGAAACAGAGATACAGGGGTTATTTGGAAAAGTCATAGATTTATAAATCATCTGCTTAGAAATGTCGGCAAGGTTGGTGTCCATTGGTCACCCGCAGAGAGGCCCTCATCTCCACTTGTGTGAGGGACATGGAACATGGACAGGAGCCTGGATTTCAGGTGACAACATTGATGTGAAGGTCACAAAGATCAAAGGCCAGTTTCGGAAACCTCAGAACAGCCAAGAGGCCTCAGCAGGTTTTCACAGCCACCAGGGGTCTGTCCGGGAACTGAGTGTCACTTTCATCTTGAGGGACGGAGTGCTCAGAGCAGAACCAGGGCGGGACAGCTCTGCGCTGGGGCTGCTCCCATGTCCTGCAGGCAGGCCACTTCCTTTCCATTCTCCAGACCCTGCCCCAGGCTCCAGACTGGACCTGCCAGAACATTCACAGCAGGCTCCCCACTGACCCCCACAGGAATGTCGTCCTGCAAGCTTTGGTTTAGAGCAAAAGGCACAAAGTCAGGGGCTTTACTCAGAGACTTTCTGCCTTTTATGAAGGTTGAGGGACAGTCTGGTCCCTTAGTGAGCACAGGTGTGTCAAACAGTCAAACTGCGTATTTTATAGAGGTTAGGGAAGGGGAGGAGATCAGGTGAGACACCATGCACGGTCTAATAGGAAATCTGCGTACACACTGTTTATGGCCTGTCTTCTCTGAGTTAATTTTCCAGCCCAAGGACACATCTGAAGGAGTTTGGGGAGCCAGCCAGGACATGTCTGGAGGAGTGTGGGGAGCCAGCACTATCTGAAGACCAGGCTCAGCCAGTGGGATGCCCCTGAGGCCAGGTGTCCAGGAGGGCGATAAGGAGCTCTGGGCTGGATGTCACAAGTTCCCGGCAGCGGTGAAGGCCTGCTTCCTGCTGACCTGTCATTGTTCAATTCACTATAAAGTCAGCTGGACATGAAACTTTAAGCTGGTTTCTTTAGGGTGTTAACACCTCCCCACCCCCGTCTTCCAGATTGCTTGCTGTCTGATTGAGGTGCCCTTAAAGATTCAATTCCTGTCTCTATTGGCATCTGGTGGTGACAGTTGGCCCGAACTCCGGTCTTCTGGTTACATATTCACAAGTGTGACACTATTGAGTCCTTACACCAGCCCACCAGCTAGTTACCAGCATCATGTCCATATACAGAGGAATAATCCTTGAGGCAGGTTCCCAAGCTGGTGCCAGGAGCCGCCCAGGCCTGACCGGAGCCGAGCTGTGCTGTTAAAATGCTAGGACTCTGCTTTGATAGTTTATTAGGACCAGGTTGTTCTGCAGTAACTCTGAAAGTGGTAATTTAGTAAAAAACAAAGAAACAAACGTATGTGAGATGAGTGTAGTTGCGTGACCAGGGGCCAGTTACTTCCCTTCTCTGAGTCTTGGCTTTGTAATGAATGAGCCAGTTGGGTCCTAAAGACCCAAGGTCCCTTCTGGTTGAAAATGCTTTATCTACTGCAGCTGTAACTCCACGGACCCTGAGGGCCTCGTGTTGGTGTGCGTGGAGAAGTTAAAACAGAAAACTCCCTAGAGGCCTAGGATTTTGATCTACCTTGACCATGATGCTTAAAAGGAAGGGCAGCTTCCGCCCAGGGCAGCTCATGGCCTCCTCCCGACACCTGGAGCACAGAGACAGGAAGCAACTACCCAAGGTCACCAAGTGATGAGGGACCAAGCGCAGGTGAGTGCAGGTTGTCTGACCAGAAGCCTGCGTTTTCCACAAGTCCTGCTGCTGGAAGTGACCTGGGCCAGTCTTGCAGCTCAGAGTGCATGGATTAGGCGTGGCACAGAATGAACTGCTTAGGGTTGAATTAAACTCCAGGTGAAGAGAAGACATGATGGGGGCCTCCCTGGTGGCCTAGGGGCTAAGCCTCAGCGCTATTACCACCTCGGTCTGAGTTCAGTCCCTGGCCAGGGAGGTGACTCACATGGCACAGCAGACCTCTCCTGTCTCATCCTGCTCTGCTCCCCACTCTGTCTCTGGTGAATCCTTTCACCCCTCCCCCACCTTTGGCCTACGCCCCAGTTCTTGTATGCATAAATAAATCTTTTTTTTTTTTTTTTTGAAAAGAGCGAGGACATGATTTATAAATGGGCATCATGCCAGTGTTAGAAGGAGTGAGCTCTCTGTACTGGTATGGAATCTGCTGTTAAATGAAGAGCAGTTCTGAGGATGTGTAATGTGAGCCCTTTTTTGTAGAAACAAAAAGATTTCCTTGCCAGTAGCCATCTCTGTTTATATATGCAAAGAAAAAAGTCTATATAAAACACTTGAAATTGACAATAGTGCTTATCTCTGAAGGGGAGGACCATGGAGGACTATCTATAAAAACTTTGAAGGTATTTCCATTTGACAAAAAGCAAAAACAGAAGAAGAAAAGTAAAACAAGTCATTTCTGGTGGCAAGAGATTCCCCCAGGATGGGGTTGCAACTCAGAGGAGAAGTCCCATGTCAGCTCCCTCAGGACAGGTCCTGGGACCCCAAAGCTGAAATTAAATGTTTTCATTTATAACAAGCATTCACCCTCCCAAGAGCTAGGAAGGCTTGGGAAGATGGGCCTGGTGTGTCCCTGTATTGTGATCGAGTCAAAGTTCATAGGGACTAACCTGAAGGGACACCCAATGACTAAAGACGACAAGATTTGAGTATTTAAAATTTGCGGTAAATTGTAATACACTCATTATTCTGAAAGCTGGTAAGTAAAGGGGAAAAAAAGCCCGTCATTATCTTAACTTTCCTTGTGAGCTGTGCTTTGTAATAAGCAAAGAGTTGATTAAAGTTAATTTTTATAGAATCCAAATAACAAGTTTTTTTTAAAGATTTATTTATTTATACAAGAACTGGGGTATAGGCCAGACGTGTGGGAGAGTGAGAGGATTCACCAGAGACAGAGTGGGGAACAGAACAGGCAGACTGACGAAATACACTGCTGAGGGGAGCAGCGGGAGAGACAGGAGGGTTTTGCTGCGCCATGTGGTATTCTCGCTGGCCGACTGGGATTGAACCCATGCTGCAGAGGCTATGGACAGCTTCACAGTGCAGCGCTCAACCGCTGGCGCCACCAGAGAGGCCCACAAGTTTTTTATTTTTGTTTTTTTAAAGAATTCAATTAAGAAATGCAGAAAGAAAAATAGAATCAGAAAACCCCCTGGTTGGCACCAAATGGTAGTGTGGATCTGGCTGTGCCCATCAATGACTGCTGAAACCTTTAGGTAAGATGCTGAAGGGAACTTGTCATAGCTGGAGGAGGAAGACAAGTCTAGAATTCACTCACCAGCCCTAACATCACAGGGAGGCCCCAGGTGTCACGGGTGCCTTAGTAACACCAGCACCATCTCTGAAGGATTCTTGCCACAAAGTCAGGCCTGGACATCTAACTACCATTTAATAAGTAAGACAGGCTCTGGGGGCCATGTTATATAACACCTCTGGATTTCAGCCAGCAGAGCTCAGAATTCGGTGAGCTCTACAGATGAAAACAGTCAGAAGAGCTATTTCAAACAAATGTAATTTTTTTTTAAAAAAATATTTATTTATTTATTTATACAAGCACTGGGTACAGTCAGAAGCACGGGAGGGTGAGAGAATTCATCAGAGCCAGAGCAGGGAGCAGAACAGGCAGAAGGACTGAAGTACATTGCTGAGGGGAGCAGCGGGTGGCAGGAGAGGTCTGTGTACCATGTGGGACCCTCGCCCAGCGCCAGGGATCGAACCGGCGCTGCAGAGGCTGCGGGCAGCTTCGCAACCCAGCGCTCAACCGCTGCGCCACCAGGGAGGCCCCAAACAAATGTAATTTTGGACACAAATCCTGATACAAACAAATGAACTGTAGAAGTAACCAAACATCTATGAGGCAATAGGGTTATTTGACCTATAGGGATAGTTGACCTATATGCACTGACTGCATATTTAAGGATATTTTTAAGGACTATGGATAAAGTGAAACTGTGCTAAGAATTGGTGTCAAAATAATCCAGGGATGAAGGGCTGGAGAGAGGAATGGGTGGTGCAGATAAAGCAGACCTGGCTGCACACCTGGCTGGTAGCTGGCAGGCGTGCACTGGGATTTATCGCACTATAATCTTTGCTGGTGCAATTGTTTGGAGATTTCCACCATGAAAAGTTACCACAAAGCAATAAGAAGCATGGGCACTGTAAAGGGCAGGACTGGCCACAGTGCAGGTTCTCTGATCCCATGCAGATCGGGTAAAGGAGGAGTCAGAGTCCTTAGTGGGCTTTGCAGGTTTTTTATTGGGGTTCAGCGGGTACGTGGCAGGCAGGGGTGCTGGGGGGCTGGGAGGCTGGCAGTCCTCCCAGCCCCCAGCAAATCCTCACTCTATCTGGGCTCTCTGGCATTCTCTGCTTCTGCTTCGGGCTTCTTCTCTTTCGGCTTCTGCTGCTTCTGCTGGCGTCCCTGTGACGCCGCCCTTAAAAAGCACAGTCTTAGCGCAGGTGTACCCACTTCAGATGCCCGCCATCAGGCATGCATTCAGGATCACAGGGTTCCCTCATCTATCCTGATGGCGGGAGGGCAGAAAAGCCTGATTTTTTATCTTACCCTACAGGCACACAACTTAACTCTTCCATCATGGTGGTGATGGAGGTATTGTCTGTGTGAAGTGTGTGTGTGTGCGTGTGTGTGTGTGTGCATGAGTATGCATTTGCATTTGTCATCATATTCTGTTCCTTATTCAAGCTGCAGCTCTGGCACAACAACATTTTATTGAAAATGACATTGACATGTGTGAAGATTGCCCCAACCTCATCTCCAGCTGGATTTCCAAAGCTGTCAGACAGGCAGGCACAGACACACAGCCCCTATTTAGGGTACTGCTGGGGCCAAGCCCACACGGTTATTCCCACGGTCAAAGACAGAGTAAAACTGCCTAATGAAGACATCACCCAGGATCCAGAGGGGCCCAGCTGGAGGTTGGATGTCAAGACCTTGAAAGCCGCTGCTGCAGAACTCTACTCCATCCACAAAATCCTGGGGTTGGAAGAAGTATGTTACACGCAGGAAGAAGGAAGTAGTGCTACCTGGAGGCTGTACTGTGTGGTTGCATTGAAGGCCTTGGACAGCCACTTCACACTTTTGGCTGGGTGGTTTTTCTTCTCACTGCCTATATCTCTACCCTGCTGACTCAATAAAGCAGTTGTACAAGTTCATGTATGTGGGCCTGGATGTCTAGGATCTCTAATTTTGAGAACTATTCATCTATGAAACATCTCTCAGCATTGTTTTACCTGCCCATGTTTTAGTTATATTTCAGGGAAGAGCAAAAATATTGGCACAAGTTCTTGGCTTAAGTTCTGGTGTCCTTAGTTTCTAGTGAAACTCAACTTAGTCTTTTTAAAGGAGAGAAGTTGCTTGGCAAGTGACCAGCTGCTGCTCTTTTCTTGTTGATGTCCTGGGAAAACTCATTTGAGTGGCTCCTTTTAGGTGTTAGGCCATTAAGCATCTGCTGTTCCGGGAGAAGAATAATAACCTCCCTCAACGTTATTTTTTAGTTTAGCAGGTGTGGTCTTTGCAGTGAGGATTGAACTTTGGGGTTGCTGATGAGGGTGTGGGGAGATTCACAGGGAACTTAAAGAACTTTCTTGAGAGGAAGGACATGAAAGAGTCAATGCTATTACTGCATCCTTGGTGGGTTGAGGAGGTTCTGATTGAAATCTGGTGGCACCATCTTGGGCAGATGGAAGGATGTGGGGGTGGGCAACCACTCGCACGAGGAGACGTGGAGAGTGTGGGGTGCTGGGGCAGCAATAGGAGCACAGGCTGATGAGCAAGGCACCATTGCAATGTCTGCCTTGTCCTCTGTGGTTGTTCAGAGTCCCTTTGTGGGGCAGTTCAGGGGTCCTGACGTGCTTTAATATTTGTTGTGACCTGCATTGTCTGTATTTGGTGACTTTGGGAAGGTTTTCATGGAGGCTGAGTGTGGGGCTTAGGTAATCCCTAACATCCTCAGTCTCCACCGCGATGCCTCCCCCCGGCAAGCTCATCCTGATGCCGTGGGTGATGCTTGGGTAAAATTAGTGGGGAAAGTGTCGCCAAAGTGCAATATTGAAAATTTTGCAATATTGTGTGGAGTGAACTAATGTGATCATAGATTCTCACCACACCCGAGAGCTTTCTTTCTACCTGCCCTCCAAACTTAGGAGTTTCCTGCACAAAAGGTGTTTTCTTGTTTGGGGAGAATGCTAGAGGAATGTTATAGGAGGCATAACCTTCTTCTGTCCCCCCATCCTGACCCAAGAAGTTCCTATCTTGAACCATGGAACTCTGAGTCTTAATATCCTCATCTGTGAAATGGGAGGACAGTACCCCCTGGTTTGACTTGGTGGTTGAGCAAATTTCAGTCAAAAAACTCAACTTGTCCAAGGTTTCCTGCTACTTCGTGGCAGGACAGAGACTCAGACCCAGACTGGTGGTCTCTTCACCATTGGCAGCTCCCAGAGGGGACACCACTTCAGTGGGAGGGGTTTCGGGGTAAATGCAGCCTAAGTGGCAACTGTTTGAAAGGGGAAGTAGCTGCTGTGAGTTGCAGAATAAGGAAATGGTTATTACCAGCAGGGTGTAGGCAGTTGGCTGGAGGGTGTAGGGGACTCCGTTGATGATAAAGGTGACATCTGGCATGACGTTGAGGTTGACACACTCCACAGCATACTACAACACAACACAGGGGTCCACCTGCAGGCTTCCCAGCTCCCGAGGGAGGGTCCAGGCCCCCCAACCCGACACCCCGACCACCCGCCCAGACAGGTCCTCACTTCTCCATGCACTGGCTCTGCCCCAATGGCTTTTTGCAGTTGCTTGATGTTGTCAGAGGGGCCTGTGATGAGGGAGGTCCCTGTGTCCACAATGGCCTGGCAGCCTTCCCCGCAGAACATCACGGAGCTGCCCACCTGGATTCTGAGAGCAGAGGGAGCATGGTCAGCACCCTACTCCCGCCCAGCCACCCCCAGCTCCAGAGAGCCCCCGCCCCTCACCCCCACAGCCCTCACTCTCTGCTGGGCCACAGGCCCGGTGGAGATTTCCTCTTTGCTCTCTCACCACAGGAACCATTCTCAATTTTGCTTGGACTGAGACCCATCACAAGGAGTGGATCTATGTCCTCACACTGTACACACATGCACGAAATAAAATTTCATCAGTCAGTGCTTAACCTGAATATGTGACCTGCACACAATGTTTTCTCTTCATTTAAAAAATTGCAGATGGGGCCTCCCTGGTAGCACAGCGGTTGAGCGCTGGGTTGCGAAGCTGCCCGCAGCCTCTGCAGCACCGGTTCGCTCCCCGGCTGCTCTCTGGCCACCGGAGGAGGGTCCCACATGGCGCGCAGACCTCTCCTGCCGCCCGCTGCTCCCCTCAGCAGTGTACTTCCGTCCTTCTGCCTGCTCTGCTCCCCGCTCTGGCTCTGGTGAATTTTCTCACCCTCCCGTGCTTCTGACTGTACCCAGTGCATGTATAAACAAACAAACAAACAAATAAATAAAATATGCCTCTATAAAAAAATGAAATAAAAATAAATAAAAAATTGCAGATGGTCATAACCTACGTGGTATCATGACCCATAAACAGGTGAATCCCTGCAGCAGAAAAGCCTCCAGGAGACAGCAGTGTGTCCCCCGGACTAGCACAAGCCCGGCGTCTTGCAGCAACTTATTCTGGGTGGCATGGAAACGTAATTTCATTTCTTTGAATTCCTGTGCTATCTAGGACAGTGCTAGGTATGGGGCGGGGTCTGGCTGATTTCTCAGCTCTTAAGCCCAGATAGTATATCAGGCCTAGTCTCCATTTCCATGCCCCACTCCCAGGAAACCTGGAGTTCTAAGACAGAAGCTGCCTGGCCCTGCCATGGTGGTGATTTGCATATGTCTCGTATTTTTTTTCCTTCCATTTTATTGATATAGCACACATACACCACACTATATCAGTTCAAGAGGTGCAGCTGGTGATTTGGCATTGTGTGTATTGTGAAATGATCACACAGTAAGTGTAGATAACATCCATCCCTCATATAGTTAGGAAATGTTTCTTCCTGTGATAAGAACTCTGCATCTGCATCTACGCTGTCAGCAACTTTCAAACAGACCACACAGCAGTGTTAATGCAGTCATTACACCCCAGGACTTGTTTACCTTCTAACTGGAAGTTTGTAGCTTTTGCCCCCTCTACCCAGCTTCCTCACCCCCACCCCACCTCTGGCAATCAATGATCTCATCTCATTTTCTATGAGTTTGGGATTTTTTTAGACTAAGTGAGATCATAGAGTATTTGTATTTCTCCGTCTGACTTATTTTTACTTACATTGATGCCCCCAAATTCATCCATGCTGTGACAAATGACAGGATTTCTTTCTTTTTTATGGCGGAGTTGTGTTCATGTGTGCGTGTGTGTGTACACACATTTTTTTACCCACATTCACATGTTGATGGACACTTAGGTTGTTTCCCTATCTCTGCTGTTGTAGGTAAAGCTGCAGTGAACACGGGGTGCAGGGATGTTTGATATGGTGCTTCCATTTCATTTCTTTCTGATGTGGACCCCAGGGGAGCAGCTGGTCACATAGTCAGTGAGCCACGTCTCATCTCTGTACAAGCTTCGTGAAGGCAAGAGCAGTTCACTCTGCATTCCCACATCTCTCAGCCCTTGTCTTGCCTGTTAACTAATGTGAATGAGCCAGTAGTTGCCTGCTGGTTCGTCTGTAATGTGTGTTGAGTCATTGTCACCCACCATCAGACAGGAAGCCGAGGGCTGGTCCCACACTTGCCGCCTGTACCTCTGCTCAGCAGCCTCTCTGGTCTCACACAGGGTGCTCCCAGCATCCTCTCCCCAGACCAGTGGTTCATTCAGGTCAGTTCAGTCAACGCAATTCTAGTCGTCCCTGTGATGAGTCCCTCCCTACAGCACAACCGCTTCCATGAGGAATACTCACGAGTCCAGCGCAATCTGCCAGTAGCCTTGCATGGTGACCGGGACCCAGTTCAGGCTCCCAGAGAAATGCGAATAATCATAGCCTCCAAAAATCACCTCGCTGCCCGCACCACCTTCTGGGTCACTGCAAGGAGAGAAGGGCATTTTGTCAAGGACTGGCCACTGTGGAGAGCCTCGGCCAGCAGTCTGCTCCATGGCTGTCACTCACACCAAGTCCCCAGACAAGCAGAAATGGCCGCCTGGGTTTTGAGCCAGGGCTTCTGGCTACCGCTAATCGATTAGTCTGGGATTTTAGGGCACAACTGCGCAACAACATGTGAATGTCCCACTGCGTGTTGGGTAAAAGGGTTAGGACGACGGAGATGGGACAGCAAGCTCAGTCATGCAGACCGCACCCTGGGGTGCTCACCCTGGGGTGTGCTCAACACCTGACTCGAGGTGCCCCCCAAGGACATCTTTTCCTCACACTCTTCCCCACTATGCTTGTGCTGGGGCTTGGGCTTCGACGACACCCCTTCTTTGTGTTAAGGCAAAAAAGCTAATTTGAACACAACAAGACCAACTAGAGCTAAAGTATTTATTAATTTTCAGTGGTGTTGATTTCTCAAATTATGTTCTGTCATCTAGCAGGACACAAATAGGATGCAACACTATTTCATTTTCAGGAATAAAATAATCAGAAAAATACAAAACTCTGGCTCTGCCAGGCAGGGCAGTAAAGCAGAAGGGAACTGGTATATGGAGGTCTCAGGACAGACATTAGAGGGAAGGGAGAGGAGGAACTGACTTTTTTTTTTTTTTTAAAGATTTATTTATTTATTTATACAAGCATTAGGTACGGTCAAAAGTGCAGGAGGGTGAGAGAATTACCAGAGCCAGAGCAGGGAATAGAACAGGCAGATTGACGAAATACACTGCTGCTGAGGGGAGCAGCAGGTGTGGCAGGAGAGGTCTGCGCGCCATGTGGGACCCTCGCTGGTGGCCGGGGATCGAACAGGCACTGCAGAGGCTGTGGGCAGCTTCACAGCCCAGTGCTCAACTGCTGCACCGCCAGGGGAGGCCCAGGAACTGACATTTATGTGACTTGCAAACAAGCTGCTCTGCTAAGAATTTTATCTAATTAGTCTCACTTAATTCTTACATCTGCCTAGTGTCCATCTGAGGAAACTTCAGTGCAGGGAAAGGAAGTAATGGACGAGTCAGCCTGACTGCAAAGTCTCTGCTGTTTCGTATCACAACTCTGTCTTCCCAGGCTGGAAAAGGCTGGGAAGAGCTGGAAAGGGCTGGAAAGAGCTGGAAAGGGCTAGAAAGAGCTGGAAAGAATTGGAAAGGGCTGGAAAGAGGTGAAAGCGGGAGTGGAACAGTCCAAACCATCCCACCTCACGCTCAAGTTCTGCCCCTGCCTCATCCCAACTACAGCCCTGCTGGAGGGGAAACAAAGATTGATAAAGGAAATTCAGGGGTCCCCAAGTGGGAGACAACAAGCAAATGGGTTATGCTGTAACAGGTAGACACAGACCAGATCTCACCGGGACAGGGACAGAAAGGTAAGATGCACGTGTTACAATTTCCTTCCTTTTTCAGGCTGAGTAATATTCTAATGTATGTACACATGACATTGTGTTACTCCATTCATTAATGTTTAATAATTTGATCAGTATACTTGTGAATTTTTCCTACCTCCTCCACTGGGATTAAGCTTATTAAGGGCCCAGACTAACCTTCTTGTTCCATTGTATTTTCAGCCCCTAACAACATGGTCAGCATGGGATAGGAGCTTAATAAATATTTATTTACTGTATAAATGAATATCCAGTTCCAGAGATTGCTTAAATTAGTTCAGCGTGGTACAGTTTACAAAGTGCTTTTCACAATGATTTTATGAGACACACTCTATTTCTTCAAACTTCAGAGACAGTAGTGTTTTGCCATAGAGCACACAGCTGGGAATAGGTCAAGCTGGAGTTCCAACCCAGGTGCCCCTCTCCCCCCACTGCTAAGCACCTGCTCTTTCCGCTGCACCTTGTGTCTACTTGAAGTCATAGTTCACCTTAACCTGGCGGCTCGATGGGCCTTACCTGCTCATGTACACAGAAAACATGGGTAGATCCACCAACTGCTGAGCCATCATGTTGTCAAACACTGGGGTCACCCCTCCAACAGCCAAAGAGGGGTACCCCAGGCCCAGAATTCCGTCAAACTCTGCATTGACGAAGGTCTGACCAGGTTCCGTGACACTTTCCCCAAATTGCTGGCCTATCACAGTCAGTCCTTCCACCTGAAAAGAGAGCCAGAAGGAGGTAGCATAGGAGATACTGACAGAGGCTCAGATGCCTGGATTCTCTCTCTCCTCTGATAATTTTTCACCTTCTCAGTTTTCCTTGACTAAATGGGCATAGAGATTTTTGGCATATTCCCATCCACTTAATTTCTTTATGTAAATTAAAACAATCCAAGGATACATAACATAATAGAAAAATCTTAAGTATATGGTCCAACGAATTTTCACAAACTCTATCCACCCCTATCAGCAAGCTCCTGACTGAAAAACAGGCTATTACAAACCATGTACCCCTTCTCTGCAGCCCCTGGCACCCTGGCACCCCTGGCAACCATAGCATTTCCCCTTAGCAGCCACCAGCTTCCTGACTTCTAACAGCACTCATTGGTTTGCCTAGTTTTGAATTTTATACACGTGGAATCATGCTCTTAATTATTTTGTGTCTGGCTTCTGTTATTATAGTTATTGCATGTTGTTGTAACTTGTTCATTTTCAAGAGAATTCCATGGTAGGAATATATCATCATTATCACCCCATCTACCACTGATGGATATTTGGGCTGCTTCCTCTGTTTGACTGTTCCTAATAGTGCTGTTTATACTGGTCTTCTGGTGAACACGTGTACATTTCTGTAGGACATATGCCTAGGAGTTAGACTGCTAGAATATAAGGTGAGATGTATTTGGTTTGAGTAAATACTGACAAAGAATTTCCAAAGTGATTTACCAATTGATGTTTCCAATACCAATGTTTTGATATTGCTCCAAATGTTGACCAGCACTGTGCATTACCTTTTTCCATTTCAGTCTGTTCGTGGTGACACGGAGGGTTACAGTGTGGTTTTAATGTATATTTCCTGGTTACTAATGAAACTGGGCAAAAAGAGGTCTTCTTTTGTGAAGAGGGTTTTCTGCATTTTTTTTTAATTGGGGGGAATTCTTTATCGATGCTGCAACCAAGTTCCTTGTTGAATATATGCATTACAAATATCTTCTTCCCCTCCAAAAAAATAAATGAGCAGATGAATAAAAAAAAAGTCTTCCAGACTGGCTGGTGTTTTACTCTTTTAATGTGTCTTTGGAAAAACAGAAAATATGAATTTCAATGTGGGAAAATTTATCAATTTTTCCCCTTTATAATCAGTGATTTTTGTAACTTCTTTTAGACATATTTATCTGTCTTAAGGTTATGAAGACATTTTCCTATGTTTTCTTTTAAAAGCCTTATTGTTTTAGTTTTTTGCATCTGACATTCAATGTATCTGACTTTCAAAAGAGATTTTTTTTAACTTGATGTAAATGAGCTAGTATCATTTATCAAATACACTATTTTCTCTGCTGCACTATTATTTTCAACGAAAGTCAGGTGAACAATTCAGCTTCTGAATTGTCTATCCTTTTCCATTTGCATATTTGCTAATCCTGGGCCAATACCACATTATCTAAATTACTATAGATTTATATTATGTCTTACGACTAGCAGAGTTTTACTTTATTTAGGTTATCTTATTGCCTTCCGTCTATATCCAGGTACATTTTAGAATTACCTGGTCAATTTCTAATAAAACATTGCTATTTTGAAGCAGGAATTTAGAAAACAAGTAAGAGACCAGGAAAAAGACTAATCAATACAAAGTAAAAATCAAAATCAACAAGCGTCTATAAACCAGAGACACACTACGGTGGCGGGGTGGGGAGGGGAGAGGAAGAACTAGAGTCAAAATAAGGGGGGGTTTGCAATTGTACCGGGAATATAACCACAATGAAAATGCATACATTGTGCAAAGATGAAAAATGATGTAAGAATTATATAAAATAAAATATTAAAAAAATTGTTATTTTGAGTAAGGTAACATTGAAAAATGATTTGGAAAATTTTGACTTATACTGAGTAATGCAATCTATAAAGCATGGCTTGTCTTTTTTAAATTTTAATTAATTTATTTTTAATACAATTATTTATTTATATATTTTTTACATCATTATTCATTTTTGTACAATGCTTGCTTTCTCCTCTCAGGTGTAGTCAGCATAAAACTCCCACCACCCGTTCACCCCTGCTTTGGTCCCTCTCCCTCCCCCTCCCCTGCAGAATGGCTCTGATTTATAGTTGCCTGTTAATTTTTAGAATTTTCCCCCTGATCCCTTATTTTGTTCCCCTATATTCCTCCTATAAGTGAAACCATCTGATATTTTTCTTTTTCCTTCTGACTTATTTATTTATTCTTATCGAAGTGCCTTTGTGCCAGTGCTTTGACAGTACAGGATTTCCTCCTCAGGGCCAGTCACGTAGCCCTCCCACCGCAGAAGGACCCACAGTCCTCCACCAGAGCCACCTGTGGTCTGCCCCTCCCTCACTCCTCCTGCTCCCCTCCCGCCCCCCTGTGCTGATCTATGGTCAGCTTTCACGGGTTGGTTTTAAAGTTTGCTTTTCTTTGACCATATTCTTTAATTTCACTCAATGCTTGGCCCATTTTTGTTAAATTTACTACTAGGTATTTGATATTAATAAATAATGTCATTAAAAATCTATTTTCCTGATATGGAAATTCAAATGATATTTATATTTTGATCCAGTAACATTTGCTAAATTCACTGTAGACATCTGTGGATATTTTTGAATCTTTCACATGTAGAGTCTACGAAGTACGTAATAACCGTGTTGCCTCTTCCTTTACAATCCTTATGTTCTTAATTTCTTTTTCTTGCTTTTTTGCAGTGATAGGGAGCATCCATCAACCCTTATTTCAGGGAGAAGCCTCTCAACAATACATTATCATGAGGTTTTCTGCAGGGTTCTTTAACAGATTAAGGAAGTTATTTACATTCCAATTTTCTAGCCATTCTTTGAAGTCATGAATGGATGTTGAAGTTTGTCTAATAGAGGTAATTATAGAATTTTCTTCTTTTATTGTGATAGTTGATTAATTCCTGGTGGGAAAAAGACTCTTGGTTGGAATGTTGTGTCCTTTTATATATATATATATATATAATATATATATATATTATATATATAATATATATATATATCACAGGATTTTATGTGCTAATATTTTGTTATGTGCTAATATGTGCTAGAATTTTTGCATCTACATTCATGAGAAAGAGATTGGTCTGTAATTTTCATTTCCTATATATAATGTTCTTCTTAAGCTTTCTTATTAAATTTATGTTGGTCTCATGAGATCAGTTATGAAGCATTCTTTTGAAATTAACTATTTGTTGGTGCTTTTTATTCCTTAAATGCTTGGAAGAAATTACTAGTCAGTCTATCAGGAACTTTCTTTATGTAAAGTTTTTGGGTTTTGTTTTAAATAACAATCAATATTTAAATTGATATTGGAGAATTTGTATTTTCTAAATTTTTTTCTTTTGTCTGTTTTGGCATGCTGCCTTTCCTATTTTTAAAAAATTAACACATTTATCAATATAAAATTATCCTTGATATGCTCTTATCATTTGAATGTCTGTTGGGTTTTTAGATACGTATTATTTTTCATTCTAATACTGTTTTTTTTTTCATTTTTTAAATTTTAACATTTATCATTTTTTATATTTTTTTAGACCATATTTTCTTCTCCCCACTCCCTCAGATTGAATCCCCATAGACATTCTAATATTGTTAAGCTGTATTTTTTCTTTTTTGTAATAGTTTTGCTAGAGTTTCTCCAATTTTATTAATCTTTGCAAAGAGTTAATTCTGGCTCTGTTGATTTTCTCTATGGTGTGACTTTTCTATTTCATTGATGAACCATTCATCAATGAACTGCCATGAACCATTCCCTTTATTATTTCTTTCCTTCCACTTTCTTTGGGTTTCACTTGCTCTTGTTTGTGGCACAGTTATTTTCTTGTTTATTTGTTGTTTGAAATAGAAGCTTAGATATTTGATTTTCAGCTTTTCTAATAAGAGCATTCAGGTTATAATCATCTGTGTAAGGGCTGCATTAGCTGCATCCACAATTTTTTCATGTCACATCATCATCTATTATTCAGGGCTTGATAAAAGGAGCAGAGCCATTAGGAGCTGTATATGAGGAGGACTGTATTCCAGAACTGACCAGATGCAGTTGCAGGTGCTGGCTGAACAGCATAGGTCAGGATGTTATTTCTGTCCTGGTGCTGTGACCAGAGTCTGCGGTGATGACGCTTAGCACAGGAAAACAGATGTCAAGTGGAGAACGAGGATGAACTGGAGCTTCCAGGGTGAGGGCGCACTGGGCCCCACACTGATGGGGTGTCCTGTAGCCCAAGTCAACCCTGTTTATCACTAAGCTAAACATGCACCTGGCCCAAGAGCCAAGAAACCTGAGAGAGGAACCAATGGAAGCTGGAGTTGCTGAGGGCTTGGCTGCTGCCCCACACCAACTAGGCAGGCCAGCAGATAAGTAACAGGCTACAAGCCCAAATTCCTCCTAGCGATGCCAATTTCTGTCCCTTTCTGGCTTCCCAGAGGTCATTATGGTAATCAGCTTGGGGTGTAGACTTCTAAATAGTTATTGTCCCTTTACATACATACATATATTCTACTAGAAGAAACAATGTTCTGTTTAATCTGTGTGTGATATTATTACATAGATAGTGTGTCTTTTGCTACTGGCATTTTTTCACTCAATAATATGTCTTACTCCCAGTCCATTTTGGAGGAATGTTGCTGAAGTCTGAGTCCCTTTAGCTTCAGGGCACTCCCAGAGCTGAAATGATGCTCCCTGGAGGTGGTCAGCCTCTGTTTCCCCAAAGCCCTGGGCATATCCTGCTGCCCATGAGCCTGGCTGGTACCCAGGCCCACACTCTCCGAAGTCTCGGTCCCATGGGCATTGATCTCCGTATTTCTGGGAACACATTTGATCAGGGGAGCTTAAGAAGCAGTTCCTGAGCTGGACACCAAGTTCAGGGTTGACATATGGCCTTTGTTTTGACAACTGTCAATAGAGCTGATGGAGATAGTGCCAGGTCTCCGTGATGGGACACTACCTTCCAACTTATTCAGTAACTATGTCTCCACCATGACCCCTGGCTGGGACTTCTTTATTCTTCAGGATAGGGACCTGTTGTTAGTTTTCAGCCCAATGCATTACCTGGGGACCTCCTCGCTGCCTCTCAAGGACCCAGCAGTCTACGTAGACTCAACCACTGCCACCACCTCACGCAGGGAATGCTCCCTGCCAGGCCAGGCCTCTCCCTTCCCCTGGACGCGAGCTCCTGTTTCCACCTCTTCCTGAGGCAGATCTGAAGCTGCTCCTCTAAATGCTCTGAATAATGCTCTGCCTCCCAAGTTTCTGGCCAAGAGAGAAAAGATGAAGGAATCACACTCACAGAGACTTGGTCCGTTCCGATGACTCCAGACAAGCTCCCGGTCCCATACTGAATGAAGAAGTGACGCCCCACGGCGCTATATGTGCTGGACTGGGACGGAATGAAGTTGGCATGTGTCCCTGGAAAGCAAGGGTGCTCTGGGCTGTGAGCTTGCTAACCTCACCCCTGCCCAATGTCTCGGGTCTCTTCCTTCATCTCCTGACACTGAGTGGGGCTCCTGGAAAGGCTGGCCCTGGCCCCCCCTTCATGGGCAGTGGCATTCGTGTCTAGCCATAGGAGGTAGCCTGTTGGGGATCACATAGTCACCCCTGGTCACAGTGGTTGCTCATAGTGACCTCGTGAGTCATGCCAAGATAAGTCCTGTTTATCAGGTGCCAGCAGCAGGCCCCACCAGTCGAGGCAGCTCAGAGCCTGGCTTTTGAAAGAAACTCGGGGATAAACAATTGCTATTCCAGGAAATTACTCCCAACTTCTCGCCCGACTGGCAGCCCACTAGCCAGGGCTTCCTGAGTCCGCTTTAACTTGCCATGCATAGACAAAGACATTCCCCCCAGCTCTTCCTTTTCCAGCCCTCACAAACGTCCCTGAGGTACTGCTGACCAAATGGACCCACCAAAGCATTGTGCCCCATCAGCCTCACCACCCCCCCCCAAAAAAAAAAAAGGCTGTGGGGTAGACCAGCAAGCCTTCTTGAAGCCAGTGAACCTGCTGCACTAGAACCCAACCTCTCTACCTGCCTAGAAATAGCCATTTGAATGGAATTGTCCCCGTTCCTGTGGGTGACCCAGAGAGTGAGTCATTGTGTATTCAAAGAACTATATTTTCAGTGTTTGAGTTTCCCTGTTAATTCTGGTCAATCAGTATGAAAGTTGATAGCTTGGAAAATGGTCAAATTTGAGTTCTTTCCCTGGCCCACCCTGCTCTTGCGGCAGAAGTCCCACAGGGGAAGGTGGTGTGGCAGAAGCGAACACTCACTGCCCTGTGCTAGGCCCTGCTCCCAGCCATTCCCTACTGGGCTTCTGGGCCCCACTTACTACAGGCTGGGCTGGTGCAGTACACGGAGGGGACCCAGAGGTTGGAGGAGCCAGTGTCAAAGATGACAGTGAAGTTCTGCGGCGGGGAGCCGATGGAGATGGTGCCGAAGTACTCCATCTACGGGGAGGAGGGTGGGCATGTGTGGGCCGCGGGGAGGGGCAGCCAGCCCACCTGGGCCGGACCCAGGGACCCCAGAGCCTGGGCTAACACAGACTGGAGCTTACGGAGACCAAGGGTGTGGCAAGGAAAGGCCAAAGGACCAGGTTGTGAGATGGGCAATCAAATCAAGTCCCCAAGACTTCACTTACATACCTCCGTTCTCATACCCTTGTGAGCAAGGTAGAGGGAGAGGTTAGGTTCTTTGCCTAAGGACACTTGACTGACAGCAGAAGTGGGCCCCTCCATTCGGGATGCCTGCTGGCCTTGCTCCTTTCCTCCCACACTGAAGCCCACACATTCATGGGGTGCACTGGGGCTTGCTCAGCCAAGGCCACAGGGACCCAGGAATCAGTCCACCTGGATCGTTCCAGAGAATTCCATGCTGGGCTTTAATGAGTTGGCCTGACATGGGTCACCACCCAGGCTCGGGCTCCCACCTCTCCCTGTCCCCAGATCCCGCCTGAGGTGCCTCACGTCCAGGTAGTTGACGAGGGGCTCGTCGGCGCTCCGGTCGGCAGCACAGGACTCCGTGTACTGGATCATATCCAAATTCTGGGACTTCCAGAACTCAGCGAGCTGGCCCTGGGCCCGCAACTTCTTCCGGAGGGACTGAGTCCTCCTGAGAGGCACCCTGAGAAGGAAGCTCAAAGCCCGTGGGAGAGGGACCACATCCCCCACCCTTCTCTGATCCTCCCCTCCTTTCAGAGGTCACCTCGGGCGCTGCCAGGAGGGGCTCTGAAGGCAGCGAGGCAGAGTTCGGCCAGAGTAATGGCCACCTGAGCCTGTCCAGTGTCAGCTTTGTCCCTGCAGGCTCTTGGACACGTGCAGAGTGACCCTCCCTCCCGAGATGTGGGTGTGGGGTGGGCTGCAGTTTACACGAGCCCCACGAGGGCTGCTTTAAAGCGACCAGGAACTGCGGCTGGTAGTGGGCCCTTGGGCCCTTTAAGCTACAAACCACAGCTGCAGGCTCCTGCTCTGTCCAGCACCAGGGGCTCCCCTGTGGACAGGCGACTCTGGGAGAGGTGGAGGCAGAGGGCCGAGCTCTCATGCACTGGAGGTCAGGCCAGCACGCGGAGGCCGCCAGTGAATGTCCTAAACCCACAATTTCTTCTCTTTGTTTCCCCATCAGTTCTTGTTTCCCAGGGAGCCCGAAGCTTGAGGGAGGGGCCTGCCAGCTAACGGGGTCGCCCGGCCTCACCTGTGGAGTGACCCGTGGGCAGGTCCCAGGTCCAGGAATGCCAGCAGCAGCAGGACGAGCATTTTCATAGTGACCCTAACCAGCTTCTTCCTCGCTCTTCCAAGGTCTTTCTTGCCACCCCCGGCCTGTCTTCCGTCCCGCAGGGCAGTGAGAACAGACTCTCCCTAACTTTCAGGGCTGCCCCACCCAGCCCTGTCTGAGGACCCAGTGATAAGGTCCCTGGAGTCAATCAATAGCCAGGCCCAGAGTAAACAGTGTGTGTAACAGGGCCTTTCCCTCCACCCATAACACACCCAAAGATGGCAGAACTTGCAAGCTGAGTAGGACTCAGGTCAGGAGCAGGGTGCCTGTGTGTGTGTGTGTGTGTGTGTGTGTGTGTGTGTATGAGTGTGTGTGTGTCTATGTGCCCTTTAAGAAAAGGGTAAAGGAGAAAGAGAAATACTGGCACAAAATGGTACCATGTGGGCAAAAGCAGGGCACAGCCTCAGCTTTGGAAAAGGTCTTTGGTGAGAGAGAGCCCCTCAGGGGTGTGGACTGCGGGCGGGTTGGATGCAGAGATTTTGTCTATTTCTAGAACATTTGAAAGTTTTAATGGTGACACTATTCAGGCAACTTCTCCTTCCTGGAGCTTCCGTTTCCAGAAGGTAATTCATAATAAGAGGACAGGTGCTCAGTGCTCTGTGAAAATCAGCTTTATTGGAGTTTGCAGCCCCAGAAGCCATGTGTCAGTGGAACATCTTGGCAAGGCCACCGCTTCTCCCTGCTGCCTAGCTGGCTCCCCCCTCCCCATCCCAGGGGCCATTGGCGATCCCCATACTCAGCACCCTCAGTTCTTGGGGTTCTGGCAACACCACCAGTGCCGCAAGAACATGACCAACCGGAAAATATTCTGTCCTCTCTCTGCCTGAAGTTGATGAATGAAAGAAAATCTGCTGGGCTGTGTGCAGAGCAGTAGAAAGAGACTGAAATTCTGGGTCTAGGCTTGGCTTTGCTGCTAATTGGCCATTTGACTTTAGATAAATCACTTCTCTCTGAATCTCATTTCCTAGTCTGTAAAATGAAGAAGTTGGATTGGGTGATAGTAACAAGAAACATTTTGGGAACACAGATTACCTGCCAGGCTCTGAGCTAAGGACATGACAAGCATTAGCTCATTTAACTCTTACACCAATTCCTTCAGGTTATTAGTATTATTTTTTAAGGAATTTCAGGGTTTTTCTCTCTCCCCCTCCCTCTTAACTTCAGAGCCCTCGGGATTTTTATTGAGGGTCCACTAGTTTTTAATTTTTTAAGATTTATTTTATTTATTTATGCATACAAGAGCTGGGGTCTAGGCCAGAGGTGTGGCAGGGGGGAGCAAGAGGATTCACCAGAGACAGAATGGGGAGCAGAACAGGCAGACTGACCAAAATACACAGCTGAGGGGAGCAGCGGGCGAAACAGGAGAGGTCTGCTGCGCCAAGTGGGTAGCTCCCTGTCTGGGAATCCAACTCATGCTGCAGTGGCTGCGGATAGCTTCATAGTGCTGAGACTTAAAGAAAATTCAGGGCTTTCCCCCCTCCCCCTCCCTCTTACCCTAGAGCCCTCAGGATGTTTATTGAGGTCCACTAGTTTTTTAAAGTGTTTTCTGCTGTCAAATCATCTGGTATGTGAATGTCCAGGATGTTTTTACCTTTCTGACTTTGCTACATATGATTCTCTCAAATTCCCTTTAAAAAAAAAAAAAACATAACTAGTGAACTTCAAATTCTCTGCATTCTGTTGTGAATGACTGCACTTCATCTGTTTTTATGGCTATCTAATACTCCATGGTGTATTAGATATGAAGATGAGGTCCCACATCTTTTTCATCCAGACGTCCACGAAAGGAGATTCAGGCTGCTTGTATGTCCTAGCTATTGTAAATACTGCTGCAATGAATATTGGGGACATATGGGATTTTGTGTTGATGTTTCATGTTCTGTGGATATATGTCCACAAGTGGGTTTGCCAGGCTGTATGATATATCCATTTTTAATTCTTTTATTCTTTTATGTGTGAATTTCTAATTTTCCCAGCAACTCTTATTAGAGACTGTCCTATTTATTTCTGGACTTCCGATTCTGTTCCATTGTTCCATGTATCTGTTTTTGTGCCAGTACCATCTTATTTTTAACACTGTTGCTTTATAGTAAAGTTTGAAGTCAGGTAATGGGATACCTACTTTCACCTTAGAGTTGCTTTTGCAATTTGGACCTTTTGTGGCACCATATAAATTTCAATTTTTTTGGTTAAGTTTCTTTGAAAAACATTGCTGGGATTTTGATGAGGATAGCATCAAATTTTTGTGCATTTTTAAAATCATTTAGGCAAGTGATTTTGATTGTATTGATTCTTCCCATCCATGAACATGGCATATCCTTCCATCTCTTTATATCACTATATATCCTTTAATATCATCCTACGATTCTCATTGTATAGGTCTTTTACATCCTTTGTTAAATTGATTCTGATGTATTTAATAATTTTTGAAGCAATTACAAGTGGAATTAATTTCTTTTGTTCTTGTTGTTTGTTTAAAACACTATGGATTTTTGTATGTTGATTTTGTAGCCTGCCCTTTGCCATATTCATTTATTGTTTTTAATAAATTTTTGATGGAGTCCTTAAGATCTTCTTTATAAAATATTGTATTATCTTTTTTTCATACTGAATTTCCTCTTTTCCCACTCGAATTTTCTTTCCTGTGTTTGATAGCTTTGGTCAAATCCTCTAATACTAAGTTAAACAGAGGTGGTGTCAATGGACATCCTTGTCTTGTGCCAGATTTTAATACTCCATGGTGAAAAGCTTTAAGTTTTACACCAATAAATAATATACTGACTGTTGGTAATATACACCTATTGTGGTAGGTTCCTTTTATTCCCATAATGTTTAGAGTTTGTAATCATAAATGGGTGCTGAATCTTATCAGATGCTTTCTCTATATTGTTTGAAATATCATATGATTTTTAGCTTTACTTTTGTTGATACAATATATTACATTAATTGATTTACATATATTAAACCATCCTTGCATCCCTTGGGAGAATCTCACTTGACCATGGTATACAACCCTTGCTGGTTTCAATTGCTATTTGTTGAAAATTTTTGCATTGCTGTTCATCAAAGATACTTGTCTGTAATTTCCTTTTCTTGTGCTATCTTTGTCTGGTTTTGGTATTAAGGTAATGCTGGCATCATAAAACATATTAGGGAGCATTCCTTCTTGCATTTTAAGAAATGATTTGAGAAAGGTGGGCATTAGTTATTCTTTAAAAATTTGATAGAATTCATTTGTAAAACCATCTGATCCTGGACTTTTGTATTTTGGAAAATTGTTCATTACTGTTTCAGTTTCTGCATTTGTGATCAGTTTGTTTAGTGAATCTGTTTCTTTCTGGCTTAGTCTTGGTAGATTATGTTGATTTTTGAATTTATCCATTTTTTCAAGGTTATTGAATTTCTTGGTATATAGCTGTTCATAGTAATCTCTTATGATCTTTTGTATTTCTGTGCTATCTATAGTAAGTTCTCTTCTTTCATTTGTGATTCGTTTATTAATGCTTCCTCTTTTCCTTTTTATTTTTGTTAGCATAGCTAGAGGCTTATCTATTTTGTTTATCTTCTCAGAGAATCCTCTCTTAGTTACATTGATTATTGTATAGTCTTTTTAATCTCTACTTCATTTATTTATGCTTTTTTAAAAATTATTTCCTTCCTTCCACTAACTTTGGGTCTCATTTGTTTCTCATTTTTGAGTTGCTCTAGATGTAATATTAGGTTATTTATTTGGGATTTTTCTTCCTTCTTCATATGGACTTGTACTGCAATTATCCTCCCCTTATGACTCATTTTGCTACATCCATAGATTCTGATGATTTCTATCACCATTTTCATCCATCTCAAGGTATTTTTTATTTCAGTTATGATTTCCTCTTTTATCCGATATCTATTGAGCAGCTTGTGGTATAATCTCCATGAATGGCTGGTTACATGAGTATGTATTCATGGTTTTCCTGTTTTTATTTGATAGTTGATTTACAGTTTTATGATGTTCTGTTCAGAGAAGCTACTGGATACAATTTCACTTGCACTTGAGAATACTCAGTATTCTCAGCTTTTGGTGGTGGTGGTGGTAGTGATGCAGTGTTCTATTAATGTCTATTAAACACTTATAGTCTAGGGCCTCCCCTGGTGGCGCAGCGGTTGAGCACTGGGCTGCAAAGCTGCCTGCAGCCTCTGCAGCGCCAGTTCGATCCCCGGCTGCCGGCCAG